TGTAGTTGTGCCTGAAGTTCGAGGTTGTGCGCGCTTTGACTTAGGGCCCGCAAATCCTCCAATCGTTTTGGCAAGCACGCCATAGCACAATCCCCACCATGACTGCTCCAAAAAGCGGAATTCCAAAATGGGTTGGAAAGTGGCAAAAAAACATGGGCCAAGACCTGCGGAGCCAGCCCCTCCGATCCCAACCTCCGGATTTCGAGGAGCTGGTGGCCCTGCACCGGTCCCTGCGCAGCGCGCAGCGCAGCTTCGGCGCTGTGAGCCTGGAGGACCATTGGCTCGGCGCCGCGGTGGCCGTGCTGGCGGCGGCCACTTGGCTTGCGGCCGGCGGGTGGGAGGCGGCCCAAGGGGTGGAGGACGTTTTTCTGATGTGGCCATGGGGCAAAGGTGTCCTTTTTGGTTGTTTTGGTTGAAAAATAGAGGGCGATTTCTGGTTTGCCTGGTGGTTTTTAATCGTTTACCATGGCCATCTATTTCCCCTAAAAGGACACCAATGCCATGGGGCATGACCCATGGCTCCATTTTGGGGTGGATGAACATCCGTTTGCCAGCCATTTTGATGTTCAGGGGTACAAGGTTTTGACCCACAGCCATATTGGGAATCTTGATGGTCCAGGCAAACAGGTCACTTAAGTCTGGCAAATGTGGTCTCCCAAATACCCTCGTCCAGCTGCGGGTCGGTGGTTCCCCCGAAAGTTGGCTCAACGCCGCCTTTGAGAGAGACGCATGGGGGACAAAGCAGGTCTTCCAATCGAGTAAGACCCAAGCAACAGGTGATTTTGACAGCGGCTCACCTGTAGTTGGTTCAAGAGAGACGCATGGGGGACAAAGCAGGTCTTCCAATCCAGTAAGACGCCAGCAACAGGTGATTTTGACAGCGGCTCACCGTCTTCCAATCCAGTAAGACGCCAGCAACAGGTGGTTTTGACAGCGGCTCACCTGGAGTTGGTTCAAGAGAGACGCATGGGGGACAAAGCAGGTCTTCCAATCCAGTAAGACCCAAGCAACAGGTGATTTTGACAGCGGCTCACCTGTAGTTGGTTCAAGAGAGACGCATGGGGGACAAAGCAGGTCTTCCAATCCAGTAAGACGCCAGCAACAGGTGATTTTGACAGCGGCTCACCGTCTTCCAATCCAGTAAGACGCCAGCAACAGGTGGTTTTGACAGCGGCTCACCTGGCGTTGGTTCAAGAGAGACGCATGGGGGACAAAGCAGGTCTTCCAATCCAGTAAGACCCAAGCAACAGGTGATTTTGACAGCGGCTCACCTGTAGTTGGTTCAAGAGAGACGCATGGGGGACAAAGCAGGTCTTCCAATCCAGTATGACCCAAGCAACATGTGATTTTGACAGCGGCTCACCTGGAGTTGGTTCAAGACAGACGCATGGGGGACAAAGCAGGTCTTCCAATCCAGTAAGACCCAAGCAACAGGTGATTTTGACAGCGGCTCACCTAGAGTTGGTTCAAGACAGACGCATGGGGGACAAAGCAGGTCTTCCAATCCAGTAAGACGCCAGCAACAGGTGATTTTGACAGCGGCTCACCGTCTTCCAATCCAGTAAGACGCCAGCAACAGGTGGTTTTGACAGCGGCTCACCTGGAGTTGGTTCAAGAGAGACGCATGGGGGACAAAGCAGGTCTTCCAATCCAGTAAGACCCAAGCAACAGGTGATTTTGACAGCGGCTTACATGGAGTTGGTTCAAGGGGAGATTGATTCCCCTTTGTTTGGGCCATGTGAGCAATGGTCACACCAACATACTGCGCGGAAACGGAGGTTCACTAAAATTCCGTGTCACAATGAAATTTAGCGTTGCCTCAATGTCAGTTTCTTAGGATCTCTTTGAAATCAGACTTGTCGACTTCAGATTGCGGCACAAGATTGAGTGGCAAAGAGGTTCTGTGCCTTCATCGCCATGCATGTGATCTCTGGTAGCATGATCACATGGCAGTGGGCAAAATGTTGTTGACACGACAGCCCCCGGCTCCGTCCCTTGAAGGGACGTTTCCTTGCTGGTGCTCAGTAGAGAATGACCCTCCGGGTTTTGGGACTGAACCGGAAGGGGATTACCTTGAAGGAGACCTTTCTGGATGTTTCTAGAGGTCATTCCATGTCTCATTCCCTGGCTACCGAACCAGCAACTTCCAGAGGTCATTTCCGCATTCCCTGCAGAGCACCAGCAACTTCCAAAAGGAGGTCGTTGAAGCCGTGCCCAGTGCATCCCAGTTTATGGCAGACCAGTATTTGTCCTTTGAAGGTTTTACAGGGTGGTTCCCTTTCCCCACAAAACCAGCTCAATGGATCCACTGGGATGGTTTCAACCGAGGAGGCCCACCTTTGGCGCGGGGAGTTTCAGGAGGCCGCAGCTCGGCGCAAGGCTTTCGCCCGGATTTGCCCCGCTTTTTTTCGGACGCTGTTTGGGATAGGCGTCCTTTTGGGAGTCAGGGTCCCATAGGGTTGAGCAGTGTTTTGCTGTCAAGGCCCTTTTGGGTCAGGTGAGCTTCTTTTTTTTCTGAGCCGAAGCCGCCTACTGCCTACCGCCGGTCGGCATTAACAGATCGTCCAATGAGGTGAAACAGAGAGGGTGAGAAGACCTGGCTGTGTTCGGGTCAGGTGTCGAACCTTTTCGTTTGAACACCACAGGTCGCCAAACATAGGCGTCCTATGCTCAGATCCATTGGCTCTCAGTTCCAGAGTTCAAAGTATGCCTCTGCCATGCAGTTGGCTATTCCACGCTTGTCCTTTTGGGTCAGCCTGGTTGAACATAGTAATAGGTAGATTCCACGGTCTAGGGTCTAGAGGGTCTAGGGTGTAAGGTCTAGGGTCCAGGGTCTAGGGTTAGAGTCTAGGGTCTAGGGTCTCGGGGTAGGGTCTATGGTCTATGGTCTTGGTCTGGTTGGGTCTAGGGTCTAGCATCTAGGGTCTAGGGTCTAGTTTCACTTTTGGGCCTGATCATTTCCCAGCGCCAGTGTCTTTCCCAAAGCTTCCGTGCAACGTACAACGTTGCAGGCCCAGGCGAGAGTCGGGACAAACACATTTGGCCGTGGGTCAACACCAATGGTCTCATTTTGGGGTAGGTGACCCATTTTAGCACCTATTTTAGTGGTTGGATTGAATCGGATGTTCACTGGGGGCTAACCGATTTGGATTTTGACCCATAACCATCTTGCCCTTTTGCACTGCGGGGTTCCTTCGTGAGCTTCCCGGACCTGATTGAATTCCACGTATGTTGCTGCGCAACATGCAGCACGGCCACGGATGGAAGGGAAAAACTGGTCCGGTGCCGCAGCACTATGCCGAAAAAGAAGCGTTGAGCCCAACTTGAACCTTGCAACATGTTATGATCAGAGGACCAGGATGTGATTGGAAGTGATATTTTCATTCGTAATGCAAAGCAGATATTCAACATGAGAATACCATATTTTTTTCAGAAAATCATGATTGTATTTTGTCTGGTTCCTTCTCACCATGTCAGCCATTGATCACATGCTGGTACCATAGAAAGGCTTTGAGAGGAATTGTAGGGAGAAAGGGCCATGGCCTGCGCAGGACTTTGGCAAGTTGACCATACTTTCTGTGTGTGTGTGTGCGCGTCTTGATTTTTGAGAGACCCCTTTTTGTTGGCTTTGAACGGAAAAAAACAAAATCATCATTGGGGGTTCCCCAATGTTGAGACAAACTCAGTTGGTCTTAGCTAGGGCCCGTTTCATTTGCCGGCGCGTTCAAGGCCGCAGCGGCTTCGGCGCGAGCCGCTTACGTGCGCCGAGTGCTGGGGAACGGACCGTCCAAAGCTTCGTGCGCTGCCGAGGCCGAAATGGGCGGGCGCTGGCAGGTGGCAAAATTGGAGTTTAAAGTTTTCAAAGTTTGGTTTGAAGCGAAGCCCAAATGAAAGCGCAACCATTTTGTTTTGGGGGTCCCCATTTTATAATTTCACAGGTGCCCGAATTTCAATTCATGCAGGATGCACCTGTGGAGTTTGACCCTACCTGCTTGCTCCAAGCTGAGCAAGCTGTCCAAAGCCAGCAACAAGGCATCGGTCTTTCGTCGGTCTTTCCTCGGGATTCGCCAAGGTTTCAGCCTTCCGGCTGATAAAAGCAGGAGCTGCGCTTCCAATCAAAGAGGAACAAAGACATGTTTCAAGCATATAGGGACGGCCTCAAAGGGGGTTCCACAACTTGAAACCATTCCTGTATTTTTCACCAAGGGATGTAATGGCAGTTGCATTGCAACCTGAGATTGACAGTTCTCCTGGATGTGTACATCATTGTACAGCCTGAGACCGGGATCCACAGCAAATCCACAGCTTCCCTGGCATGGACCCCCATGGTATTTCTTTTCTGAGACTGTTCGGGAGGCTCATGAATGGATACACCACGGCATCGCTTAAGGGGGGCATTTTGACCAGGTTCGGCCACGGCGGTTTCTTCTGGTGATATGATTTGGGACATTCACATGACATCACATAACCCTTGGTGTGTGTCAGTGTGTGTGTGTGTGTGGGTTTGTGTGTGTGTGTGTCTGGCGTGCAGATCTCAATTTCCCCCAATTTGAATTGGGTCAGCGACTTGCCACTGCATGTCTTTTTGTATGGGCAAGAGGCTCCAGGGGTGAGAGCTGCGAACCGGCAAGGCCACGCGTGAGCTCGCCCTTGCAGCCGCGCAGTGCTCGGTCGAACAAAACCATGCGCTGTGCGGCATGCAGGCGGCGTCCTTTGCGATGTTCGGGGAATTGCCGTGACTTCGCCCTTTGTTAAGAAATCATTCCCCAAAAGAGCGCCATTCAAACTTCGGGGGGTCTTGCCCCTCCCATGCACGTGAAACAAGTTACCAGGTTTGAAGTGGCCAAAGGTCCAAGCCCACCACCCCACCCCACCCCGCCCCACCCTACCCCACCCCACCCCACCCACCCCAACCCAACTCCACCCCACCACCCCACCCCACCAAACCCCAACCCCCCACCCCACCCCACACCCAACCCAACACCCGGAGATGCTTCTAGGACTGGAACCGGAACTCCTCGCGGGTGGCGGAGGTGTTCTCGGCCCAGGCAACTGGACTTTGGACTGCGCTTTCCTTTTCGCTTGGGACGGGCCATTTGATGGCAAAGATCCTTCGCTTGGGGGTCCCATTTTTTGTTTTCAGGTTTTGGACATCTTGTAAAATCTGCAGATAGATTGAACCTTTCCCCTCTATGCGCACTTAGTTTTTACTGGGGTTTCTCCTTCAGAGTCAGCAACCAAAAGAAGGCTGTGTCTTTTTTCATGGCCACGGGGCGGCCGAGTGGGGGATTCCCATTGAAGGCAACAAGGGGGAAGGGAAATCACGGGGGTACCATTCAACTCAACAAAGCACGCGGGACTTGTGTTTGGCCAACCCGCTCAGGAAAAGAGTGAAGGGGCCTGAGAAGGTACGCTTCCGAGCTGCTTCTGGTTTCCTTCTTGCGTCAACAAGATGGCTCCTCATTCTGGCATAGACGCACAGCCCCGCGAAAGTAAGCCACCAGGGAACGAGCCAATGTCAGCACCAAGAAAGGTTTCACTGGCCTTCCGAGCCGATCCCTCGCCAAAGGGGAAGGAACACGCGCGCAGCGAACAGTATCAAAGCTGTGGATTATTTATCGGAGTCTGCTTGTGGTTGGGGAGGATAGGAACCATCCCAAGCGCCAGGGGAGTCTCCAAATTTTCCCCATGCCCTCGTGGTGAGCGAGAAACTATTCTGCGTGGCTTGCGTGCCTTGTGGTCTCCTCGCTTGCAGGAGCAGCCCGGCCCAGCACTGAGATATCTCGCCGCGCACCGTGCGTGCATGTCTGCAGAGTCCTAAATCTGGTTTTCAACCGTTTTTGAACTGAACATGGTCATGGACAGACATTTGTTGAATCGTGTTTCTTTTGTGATCGCCGGGCAACCCTTTTTATTCTGACCGCAGGACAAGATTCGACTTGATAATTTGAACTGAGCATATGGAGTGGCCCAAGTGTCGGATTTCTTAGCAATAGCAAGCAGGTTTGCCCCCGCATTGCTCGGGGCAGGGGCTAGACACGCAGTACGACTTACCTCTTAAAAACACAACTTTTCAACTTTTTGGGTAACATGGCTATATGCATGTAAAAGGTTAACTTCCCCAATCCTTGGAGTTTTAAGGGGTAAGACGAGGTTCGGTTTGCATGTTTGAGTCGGTCTCAAAATGAGACCCGCCATTGGCGACGTGACCGTTGCGAGTGAAAGCCTTGCTTCCCAGATCGCGCTGCCGGTGCAAAGCCGGGGCACCCAAGCGACGGCAACGGAGAGACCATTTTGGTCAAGGACAGTGGGCAATTTTGGGGGTGACCCGTGGAACCAAAGTTACTGTATGGCTGAAGTATGAGCCTTGACCAATACTTGTTAACCCACTTGTATGTTTTGTCGGGACTTGTCTCTCATCCGAAGAAGCCCTCGCTGGAGATTTCCCCTTTTGCCACTGTCGATGCACTATGCCAAAACCGGATGGCATCAAGCATGACTGTGATCAGTTGTTCCGTTGTATTCAATGACAGCTTTCTAGGGACAGATGTAATTGTTGGTTGACATTGGCTTTCTTTTGATTTGTGGCTGTCACATTTGGTCGCACAGCGAGAATCTCTTCTGCCTCCCTTGCGGCTTTGCTTGGGGCTCATGGTCCGAACCTTGAGCAATCCCGGTGGCTTAAGGACCCAGAGGGTCCAAGTACCTTCTAATTACCCCCCAAAAGCCATCAGGTTCTTGGAATCTTTGGGGGCTCCCGTGCAGCAAATGAAGCCAAGCGAACAACCAGTTCTTGAGTCTCAGCGTCATATTCCGTCGCTTGGGAAATGAGTCCAAGGAGCACTCCGGCAGCTGAGAATCAGTGGCCAAGAGAGGCACCGTGTTGCTTCATAACGTGCGTGGCGTGTGTTTTGAGGGTAATTACCCGTTTTAGTTTGGCTTGAAAGGAACACCAAGACACCATTTGTTGGGGTCCCCCTATTTTGACATACCCAAATGGCTGCAGCGTCTGAATGAGAATGCCTTGCTGTCAACTACTGTACCCTAAGGGTCGACTGTTTTTTGTAAGGGTGCTTGAGGTCCAAATATGCACTCTCCGTAGGTTCCCTTATAGGGTCTGCATTGGAGGGATCACGACGTGAACGACAAACATGGTGAACCTCACGTCTTGGGTCCGTGCAGTGTCGCGATCTCGTCAAGGTCCGAGCTGTGGGCGCCTTGGCTTCTGCACTACGAGAAGGAGCAGAGCCTTTTGGCGAGGGGGCGCGCTTCCTGATTTGCCGGGGTGAGGATATGATTCTTGTTTCCAGCATCTAATGCCGAGATGCGACCATTGTAGCGGATAAACCTGAAAGGGCGCCAACTATTGTTAGGGTCCACGTTTTTCAGGAAGTCCCTCAATCGCTCACGTGAGATATCCATGACCTCCAGAGAAGCCCGGTACAAGAAGATCCCATGCGGGGTGCTGGCGCCATCGTTGGTTGGATTCGAAAGCCGCGACGAGTTCGCACCGCTTCCTTTCAGCGGGTCAACTTGTCAGGGGCCCTCTTTCTGGCGGCGAGAGCTGCAGGAGATTCCTGACTCGTTGTGCCCCAGCAACGAGGTGAGCTCCACTTGGGGGAGCTGAAAACGCGGATAATGACTTGGGTTGCGAACAACTTACCAGCTTGGCCGACCACCCCAAGTCGTCGCTCCTGCTTCTTGCAACTGGCGAAGCGCGCTTGAAGGCTACCCGAGAGTCCGATCCGGGCTGCCTTGCGGCCTGAGCAAGCCAGCTTACAGCTTTGGACAGGGTTTTCGAGTAGTCCTCCGGACAAGAGCTAGGCAACTAGCCATAGGCGCATTTCAAACCTTAAGAAGCGCAAGCGAAGAGGCAAGGCAAGACCATCTTCCACCAGTGTTTCTTTTGTTGGATCTTTGTGTCAGTTCACTTTGTTCTTCTGACCCTCCCTGTCCTTTCCACTTGTTTGACCTGAATGTCTCTCCAGTGGGCCCTTGCCTTCCGCATCGAGCGGTTTTTTCCGTTCGCAAGGAGCTGCACGAGCAGCGGGAGCGCCTTCAGAAGTGCAGAGAAGGTCCGCAGTGAGCGAGCTGCGGCAAAACAAGCCATGAAGGTCATTTGAAGGGGGTTCCTTTGGGGGTCCTTTAAAAGGGGGGTCCAGAAAAGGTCCTTGGAGAAAAACGACCCATGAAGGTTCTTTGGGGGGCTTCCCTTCTTCCCTCCTTGGAGATCTGCAATTTGATCTGATTTGCCCAGAGTCCTCGGGCCAATCCGGGCCAATCAGTGCAATTTCAGGCGAGCGCCCGGCGGTGCCACCACTGCCGTTCCTGGGACGGCTTCATCTGACCGGAGGCTGGGCTATTTAATTTGTGAATCCATTTAGGGACCTGGACTTTCAAAATACCCACACCAGCGAACGGTGGATGACCGCTCACCACCTCCACGGCGCGAAATATTCAGCTCCATTCAGGTCCGTGCCACCCGGTGGCCCTGCAGAGCTCATAAGCAAGTCGTGCGGAAGAGGGTCCAGAACCCCAGCCATTTGAGGAAAATCCAGTTTCATCGGTTTTTGAGCATGCACCCGTTGGCACGTTGGTGCCAACGGGTGATCTGGCCACTTTGGGAAACAGTTCATGTGGAACTGCCGCATTAGGTAGCGTGAACGATGTGACCATGCGCCGTGGCAGGCACGCGAAATGGGCATTCGGTGACCGTGGGGCACCTATCCTGAAATGGAATGCAACAAGAAATATTCCATCGGCTTTAGAGGAATCCGCTGGAGTTTCCTCTCCGGTCCATGTGAATCTGAATCCTTGGAAGTTGACCGCTTTTTTATAATGGTCTATTCGGACGGAGCGGCTTTGGCCAGCAACCGCCATTTTGTGTAGCATAATTGATATTGCTTTCAAGAGGCATGGCCAATATAGTGGATCGTTGGCTTAAAACAGTCACTTTGGCTTTGAGGGGTTTGGGGCAGTTTAGCGCTGCGAGTGCAGTGTTTAAACTTAGGCTTGTTTTGGCACAGCCAGTTTATAAAGCAATTGGTGCAGTTTGCGCTGAGCTGCATCAGCTATGCGAATGACAAGTGTAGCGTTGAGTGCATAGTTGGACACGCTTTGCATCGCATAGCCTAAGGTTCCAATCTCGTTATTTCAAGACTGCGAAAGCTATCCTTTCCAACAATATTTGCGACAAGCACCCTTCATTGAACATAATTTGTTGGACTCTAGTTTGATTGCTGTGATATGTCCGCAAAACAATCCGTGAAACCCGAAATTGACTGCAAAAGACCGCTGTTTTGTCGTGAATTTACTGTGTGCTGTTTGCCGCAAATCACAATACACAGATTGGAAGCGATAAACACACAGTTGTCGAATTATTGCTTTGAGGATTTGGATGTTTGGGCATTGCCAGCAGAAATACGAGTTTTGATCGCGGGCACACCAAGTCACCTAGGCGCTTGCAAAGAAAACAACCGATGTGGGTACTTTGTGAGATAGGGATCCTCATCACAGTTTGTTGTTTGGTGCACATATAATTGACGGTTGATAATGTGGCTGGCTTGTTCCGTCAATTAGGTCCAAGGCCAGATCGTGATGCATGATTAATTTGGCATTCGGTGATAGCAAGGCTCGTGCCGCTGCGTACATGATTTGGCAATCCTGTTTGTAAAGCAAGCTTTCAACAAAAAACATATCGCCCTAGGCCAAGACGCCGTTCTGTAAAGCACCGTTTCAGCAAAATGGCAGTTGGGCTTCCAGGATTATAGGAGTTCAAGAAGTCCTGTGCAACAGAGTCCGCCCGACCCTGCGCCAGAGTTTGATCTGCAGTTTTGTTGCGCCATGTTCCGATATTTGTTGATGCTGCAAGCCGGCGTGGCTGCCCTGTGGTATCAAAGGCTTTCAACTAGCTGCTCAAGGCGGCTCATTGCCAAAGACATCTTTGGCAACCTGAAACTCCCTTTGAAAGAAATTCTTTGGTTGTTTCAGCTTCGTGAATTATGATGATTTATCCAGGTATATCGGCACCATACTGCGCGCTCTCGGCTTGGTTTTTTGTTGAAGCAACATTTCCGTGGAAGCAAGCTTTTGGAGACATATAATATGACATATATAGTTGCTAGTCGCCCGAGTGTTGCTTTATGCTAGCGCAAACTGGTGAGATTCGGTGAGACTTGAGCGCACCTTGTGCCAGATCAACAGAGCAAGCAACGCATGTTCTGGGCCGTACTTCAGGGCTTCTTGCCTGGGAGCACAAGGCAGCTGTCCCATTTGGAAGGCTTTGTTGTTTGCCAACTTTGCGATTTGCTGATTCTTAACGCTTCGAGCACGCATCTACTGTTGGTTGCGGTTCTATGCTGGAATCCTGAAGGCTCATTCACACAGGCGCCAGGTTTCAAGAGGACTTGCCCGCGCCGGAAAGCAGCCGGGCAAGGTTGCTAATGTTGACCCCATATGGATACCCTGGATCAACCCCAGTTTATGAATAGGGGGGGACTCCAAAAGTGGTTTGATTCCCCACACTCCACCCAGGCAGGGCACCCTATAAATGAACTCCACCCTGTTGGTTGATTAATATGGGGTCAACATGGAGCGCATTTGTTTCCCGCGAAACGTGGGCAACAGGCACGAGGCGTCCGCCTCGTTGCCGTCCGCGCTTTTGCTCTTTTTTCTCCTAACAACGCAGCGTGCCAGTGGAAGCCGCATTGTGGCAGTCTCGCTTCCTCTTTGGTTGCAGATGTCAAGATGGTTCACCCTCCGACTGTCCATATTAATATATACCACTAGATACATACATACATACATACATACATACATACATACATACATACATACATACATACATACATACATACATACATACATACATACATACATACATACATACATACATACATACATACATACATACATACATACATACATACATACATATATATATATATATACACAATATATACAATATATATATATACACATTTCTGTATCATGTATACTTCGCCAAACTTCGGTTTCCAGCGCACATCCAGCCCCCTGTTTGACACTTTGACCAGGTCGCAGGAGCCTTCCTGCGGCGCGGGGAAGCCCACGAGCAAGCCAGAGGCGGTTTGAAGCCGGGGGGGCGGTTTTGCGGGTACCTTGAAAGACCTGGCGCCAGCGGTGCGTGTTGCCCTTTTAAAGGGGATAACCTACTTTTGACAACAACCTTCCCTGGTTGGGTTGGTGGAAAGGAAGGTAAGAGGAAGATTTGAAGCCATTTTATGCATGCCACGTACTCAGCAAGCAAAGCCTCAATGAAACTTCTCATGCTTGGCCAAGGGTTTGAAAGCTCCTTCCGTGCCAAGTTTTGATTGTCACCTCGGACCGTTTTGTTGAAAAGGCCCAAGAAAGGCCGTCGTTCGCAAAAGCACGCAAGGCCCGATGAAGCTGGTTAGGGCAAGCTCCAGTCTGCTTCGTCGGCCCACGCGTCCAAGGCCCACGCTTGACACGCCGGAGCCCCCTTTTGCGGAGTTGCCCGCTTAGGGATCACTAGGTGCGTGTCCTTTTTCAGGGCAGCTTTTCGGTGTTGGTTCGAAGGAAACCAACAGGACCCCGATCATTTTGGGTTTCCTTAGACGCCGCCCAGGTATGACTGCAACAAGCGAGCTGTTCCCCCAGCTCAGTCCCATGTCCGGTCGAGCCTTTTGCCAGGGCCCAGGGCCTCCCTTCTGGCTAGGACGCGCGGTCCGGGCATGGGCACGCGCTGACTTGGGCTTGTCGCAAGCTCGAAGATATGGAACCTCAAAAAGAGCCACCTCCGTGGTTGGTGGACATAACTCCCCACCTAAATGGTGTCCACCAAAGGGCCCCTTAGTAGAATTCACACCCGTATTGATTTTCCTTTTGCTCCCTCAGGTTTCCCATAGGTTCCCACTACGTTTCCCTTTAAAACAACCCCAAAAGGGGTATCATCTTAAAAAGACACACCCGTTTTGGTGAGCTCGCAACACCTGCCCACTTGGAGAAATCCTAATCCACGCGATCAAAGCGGGTGCAGGCACCTACGGCTTTGCAGGGTTGCCCATACCCCACGTGCTTGAAAGGGGTCCTTTTTGGGTCCAATCCATCGATCGGACCCTTAACGCAATAGGTTACAACAAGACGCCGCTTTTTGATGGCCGCGAAGCTTTTGCTCGATCACTGCGAGGGTACGAAGGCAGCAAGTGCAGTGCTGCTTCAGGCTTCTACCGCGGTTCCGCTGAACGCACGGAGGCAGAGGTTGCAGAACGTATCGAGCAGGACTTGGAGGACATCGAGGACTGGTGGAGAGAGCCCGCGCCCGTGGGGACTCTCAACTGGAGCTGGAAGATGCAGAAGCCGCCGGCGCACAACCACGACAACCACCGTGAACTGCGGGTCCAGCACAGACTCCTATTCCCTCGCCTTGACGATTTACGGGGGCAGCTGCCTTGAGGGTCCCAACACTGGAGGTGCATGTCCTTGGACACTGCCAGCTGCAGCACAAACTCCAACAACCGGGACCAGTTCCTCTTTGTGGATCAGGGAGATGGGTACTGCAAGCTCCAGTCTAAGTACGGCACCCGTCGCCGCAGCGCCTCAGGAAAGTCGGTGACCTGTGGAACGAGCTCAATGTCTGTGGCTTACTGCAAGGCCCAAGGGAGCCAGAGCTCCACCAAATTGAAGCTTGAAAATCTCGGCAACGACAAGTTCACCATGTGGTGGGTGGTATGACAGCTCAGGAAATGTGAAGCAGGCCAAGAGGGGTGCAGGCGGGATCAAGCTGGCAGATTATACCAACACTGATGAGCCTGATTTCAAGCTCTACAAGAACACGGTCTACAGCAACACCTGCCTTCTGAGCAAGAATGATCTTGGCCTCACCTGCTGGAAGTGAGCGCAGCGCTTCCTTGCAGGGAAAATCGCAGAAGCAGATTTAATTGAATTTCATGTTCTTTTGGTGAGTTTGAATTGGGCGACCCGGGTTGAAATGAGACGGCGCTTTAATGGTTGATCTGGGTTGCCGATTTAGCGACAAAATGGATGCTCATAGGGTTCTGGGATGTCCGCAACCCAGTCCGATCTGCCACACTCCGGGGCCTGTGTAGTGGGCGTGCAAAAAAGCAGCTCTAATATCCCCGTGGATGGCAGTTTCCCCACTCGCATGCACTTATTTTTCAGGCGTGTTTTCAGGTTGAGAGCACAGGCCCTTTGGAGGAACCCTAGAAATTTCCCAAAGTGGAAGTGGACAGGAGGGGTCATCTGAAGAAGGCTTACACGCCTTTTGCGACCAGGTTGGTAGACCCCCCTAGCAGGGAAGTTTGGGAATGACCAGGACCCTACGCCAGGAATTTTGACCATGGCTCTTGTGTTGTTCACTTGCCGCCTTTTTGGGCGGTGTGTTGGAGTTTCGCGCTAGGAGGCGGGCAAGGCGTGACCCCCGAGTCCACGAGCCAAGCGCAGTTCAGGCGACGGCGTGTTGGGTTGAGCGCAAACTCTACGGCCCATGTCAGTCGGCAGCTCTACTTCCTGCCTTCATCCAGGTTCTAGCCAGGCCTTCATTAGAAACAACAAGAGCAACAAGAGCAGCAACAACAACAACAACAACAA